GATGGCTCAGTGGAATAAGTGCTTCCTTGGCAAGTGCAAGGGCCTGAATTCAATCCCTGGTTCCGGAAAAAAAAAAAAAGAGAGAGAAGGTAGGCCAGGGATATGGCTCAGTGACACAAGCACCTGCCTGGCAAGCTACTGCGTTGGAGAGCCTGTATCAAAGAAAGAAAGAGGAAGAATGGGGCGGGGCAGGGAGATTTCCCAGAACTGAAGGTCCCATACATGTAGCTGAAAAGGATCCAGAAGGGCACTGACTCAAGGCACATCATCAGTGATGTCTCAGCGCCCTGAAGGTGCTGCAAGTTCCAGCAAGAAGAGAAAGAAGCCGGTCACATACTACGCACCAGGACCCAGAATGGCAACAGTACAAGCTAGACAGTGGCTCAGTCCCTCTGAATTTAGAAAGGTCATTCTTTTCATCTTAGACATCTATGCCTAGCCTAAGTCTCACATGTAAAGGTAGAATAAAAACATTTTATGATATAGAAGGTCCTACAGAGTTTCCTTGCAAAGCATCCTTTCCCAGTAATCTAATGGAAGATACTTCACTAAAGCAAGAGTGAGCCAGTAAAGAGGAAGGCTGAAATTACAGGTTAGGTCATGCAGAGAGAATCTCTGGTGAATCTACAATGACAAGCAGAAACATCTTTTTTTTAATTGAGAAACAAGTATCAGTAAGACAGTTTCAAAACTGATTCACAGGACAATCTCAATAATTAATACATTGTACATTGTTATCTTCTTAGTGGTTATCTGTAGTACAAGATGCAGACAGAATATGCTGTCCAAACACTATTAGTACAAATCTTTCTTCTCATTGAATTAAGCGAAAGTAGCTGTATATCTATCCTATGAAACAGAAACACCTAAGCAACACCCAGGATTTGGAGGCGGATTTATGTGTGTAGATAGACGGTGATCAGGGTCACTCCCAAAATCTGGCCCTGACCTCTGGTGGTCTAGGGCTCACATGGGATAAGAAAGCAGGAAGCACAAAAGCAGAACGGCTGTCAGTTGTGGATTGGTCTATACAAGGCACATCACAGTGACAAGCCATTTGTAAGAGACAGGAGGAACCAGAATTGGAACAGAAACTATTTATTACCTGGTGTCTTACTTTTCCCTCATTGCTGGAAAAAATACTTGCTGCCCAGAATTAAGCAAGAAATTATTGAGCTCATAGTTTGTGGAGGTTTCAGTCCATAATCAGCTGGCTCCAAGGCAGGGTGGCGTGGCAGAAGAGCAACCATTTATGGCTGGGGAAGACAGCAACTGCAATGAGAGCACAAAGGGAAGAGCAAGCCTGGTTCCCTCCCTTACATTGTATACAGGCTTCCCACCCCAGGCTTTGGAGGCAGATTTATGTGCGTTGATGGCCAGTGATCAGGATCATTCCCAAAATAACTACACCCAGGTGGGTGTAGCATCCACACCCATGACCCCAGCTTTGGACCATGAATCACTCACAAACTCTAGAAGCCCGCCCTGTGACTGCATGAGGCTTTGGAGGACACCTAGACACAAACCATAACAGCTGGACAACTAAGACCCTGAAGTACACTGGCTGGGGGGCGGACATTGGCTGTTACAGATTGGGTGTGGTCTCTCAGTGTCAGCTACTCCACAGCTCCAAGAGCAAACAGCTAGAAGACAGGGATATGAATAGGATATTTTTTGAAGGAAGCACAAGGGAGTACCTTGAAGATAAAACCAGAAGTAAAGAAAAGGGTATTTTTCCTTTTTCTCTCAGTACTTGGAATTGAATCCTGGGCCTTCCCCATGAGCTGCAGCCCTGGCCAGTTTTTATTTTGAGACAGTCTTGCTAAATCCCTAGGTTGCTCATGTGGGTTCAGCTTGCAGTGCTCCTGCCTCAGCCTCGCAGAGTGCTTGGATTATAGTCATACATACTTTAAGAAGTATTTAAATAATCACTAAAGTGTTTATTTATTGACAGGGTCTTGCTGTGTAGTTCAGGCTGTCTCTGAAATCACTGTGTAAACTAGTCTGGCCTCAAAATTATAGTGATCCTCCTGCCTCAGCCTCCCCAATACTAGGATTACAGGTGTGCACCACCATACCGAGCCCTTTTTATTTATCTATAATTTTTTAAATTTTTTTTTCAAGAAATACATTCCCTGTAGTTGGGCCCCTCCAGGAGAAATGCTTAACCTTTAAGTAATGACAATAGAAATTTTCTTTTGTTCAGAATGTAGAAAGAAGTTCTGCTAGGAATTCTTTAAATACTCTGTAGGGCTGGTGAGACAGCTCAGCAGACTAAGCACCTGCTTTGGGAAGCACAGGGACTGGGATTTGATCTCCAGTCCCTCTTGCTGCGCCAGCCCTGCCCCCGAGGCAGTGACCGAGTCTGAGCATGGTGGCACACACCTGTAATCCCAGAGCTAGGGAGGCTGAAAGCGGGAGGATCACTATGAGTCCGAGCTGCATAGTGAGACCCTGTACCAAATACATCAAATGATAAATAAATAACTACTCTAGTGAACCTTCCCTGGTAATTTTAGGATTATAATTCCTCATTGTAGGAAAAGAGTTCTAGCAAGGAGCAGACACTAAAGATAACTGCTTCCTGTTCTTCATCATTAGGCCTGCTGTAAATGAAAGGCAAAAGGTTTCTTCTGGGTTTCTAGCCCACAGCCATCTTTTTTTTTTTTTTTTTCTTTTTTCTTTTTTTAAAGAACCCAACCCTAAAAACAGAGTTTTCTTTGCTCAAGAACTCTGGTTACCAATAATTAATCTCAGATGAAAAACTGGAGGCTTCCTGTGTCTTTGACCTAAGAGAGCTTGCTGTGAGTGGCTTGTCTGTTTGCTAGCCAAAGATCTTATCTTGACCAAGCAGAGCTGATGGGATCATAAAATCAGCAACGTTCTTTCCTCAGTATTCTTCCTCTACCAAATGGGAGAGATGATATCCCAGCTCAAAAGGAAGGCTTAATATGTGTCGTGTGGGGAGGGTGTCATGTAATAATAGCTATATTTCATGGTAATAAAATTTAAGTAACTCAGTAGTACATCTTAATTCACATACTTGCTTTGCTCACTCTCAACATATTTGGATAAATCACTACGGAACAACCAAGCCAAATGTCGAAACCACCCACTTTCCTATTCCCAGCACATGAATTAGAAGAAGGCCACAGAGATCCAGGCCAGGCACTTCAATGACTTGTATGTCTAATTTTTGTTCTGTGATCTGAAACTCAAAATAAATTGAAAAAGAAAAAAATTCCAAATACCAGCTGATACACAGAAAAATATCTCCAGCCGTAGTTCTTGCACACATGCAAAACTGATAAATAGACCTACCCTGAATAGATACAAGGAATTAGAGATGATTTCCTGTAAGCACAAAGAGATACTTACATGTAGCAGGCTTGCTGAACTCCTGTGTTCAGCTTTAGTTAAACCGGAGTACAAGCTGAAGAACTTTTTAGGGAAAGACGTGACTTTGGAACTGAGTTTCTCGGAGATAGAATTTGGGCTTAGACAATGTCACGATCGAACAGGGTGTGGTGGCACATGCCTGTAGTCTTAGTACTCAGGAGGGTGAGGCAGGAGATCACCAGGGGATTGAGGCAAGCCTGTCACAGGGAGAGAGAGCCAGAGGCCAAGAGACAGACTGAGACAGAGAGGGAAAGAGTGAGCGTATGAATAGCAAATGAGGACAGGGCAAGAAGAAAGTGGTAGGTGGAGCAGAAGGTGCTGCTCGGTCAGGATGTTAGGAATAAGCTTTTGACTGTGGAGCTTGTCAACTCCAAAAGTCGAGCAGCCAAAGAAAGGCTGCAGGGGCTGGTGAGATGGCTCAGTGGTCTAAAGCACCTACTTAGAGCAAGCTTAGCAAAGCACAGGGACCACGGTTCAATCCCCCAGCACCACATGCCAGCCAGCCCCGCCCCCTGGTGGGCTGAGCTGGCCACACACACACACACACACACACACAAATAAAATATTAAAAATAAATAAAGAAAACTAATTTAAGAAAGGCTGCAGAGCCCAAACCAGGAAGACATGGAGGCTACACTAAATTCACTTCCTGCGAGAGCCAGGGGTCTCAGATACAGTGCAGGTATTTTGTGGATACAGATGTTTAGAAATAGTCTCTGCTTGATACCATAAACCTGAACTCAAAGCAGTTGACAGAAAAATGAAATTGGTAGGAACCTGGCACCTTGGCCACAATGCCTTGAGTTCAGGTCATTTGCCAGAAGAGCAAAATGTGCTATTTTGAAGCAGTACTGCGTGCCCCAGTGCATGAGCTGGGTAAGAAGGGGAACGAGGAGAAACGGTGTGTCTGAAGGCCTCAGAAAATAAAAGGCTCTTCCTGGCCCTGGCCCTTGTTACCAGATACAATTTTATGGGGGGGAGGGGATCATGCATAAGGACCACAACTAAAAATGAACAAAAATAGGGTAATTATGAGAGTAAAGGTTGTTTACAGTGAGGAAACTGGTTTGTATAATTAGATGCAAAAGTTATCTTGTCTTTATAATATACTTTCTGGGCTGGCCAAATAGCTCAGTGGATTAAAGCACCTGCAAGCAGGCACAGGGGCCAGGGGTTTGATGCCTGAGCCTGCTGTGCTGGCCTCACCCCCCAGGGTCATGCTGAGAAGGCAACTGAGACTGGGCGTGGTGGTGCACACCTGTAATCCCAGCTCTTGGGAGGCTGTAAGCAGGCAGATCACTACGAGTCTGATCTAGTAGTGAGCCCCTGAACACCCTATAGACCCTTCCCTAAAATACAAAAAAAAAAGTATAATATACTTTCCTATTAAGGAAACATAACCTCTTCTCTTGCCAGATAAAAGACAGAGTCTCTTTGTTTTGGAAAAAGAACATCACCAAATTACAAGGAGACTTAAGCCACCCTTGGAATCACTGGTAACCCCAGAACTGATCCCCAAGAGTGATTCTTCCCTCAGTATAAGAAACTTATTTCTTGCTTTGGCTTGTTTTAATTGTGGACTTCTCCCTCCTATCCTGCAGCTGGGATGAAAGCAGCTCTATCAGCAGCGGGCTCAGTGATGCCTCTGACAACCTCAGCTCGGAAGAGTTCAATGCCAGCTCCTCACTCAACTCCCTCCCGACTACACCCACTGCTTCTCGCAGGAACTCTACAATAGTGGTGCGTGACTTTGCAAACACCAGGCTCCCAGCTCAGGATGACCCACAGGGCAAACCCACCAGTGCCTGTGTCTACACTTGGTACATGAACACCCACTCCATGGACTGGCTCCTGTCAGCCTTTGGTCAGGTTCTTTCAGTGCTAAAAGAAAAAGTGAAGGCGTCCAAGCAGTCACACAAGACAGCAGTGTTGTCATAGTGTTTATATTCTTTTACTCACACCTATCTGGGATAATACATGGAAGAGCTGCTCCAGCTGGAGAGAAACACCCCAGAGATAAATATGATGTCTTCTGCGTGGAACCTTAGGGATGGATACCCATAAGCACCCTGGGTTGACTGTGTACTCTGGGAATGGCAGGACCTCCTTCTAATGCAAATAGATCCCATCACCTATCCATGTCCCCGCCCCACCATGGTGTCTCATTCTGCCTTTTTCTCTTCTCTTTAGCTACGCACAGACTCAGAGAAGCGCTCCCTGGCAGAAAGTGGGCTGAGCTGGTTTAGTGAGTCAGAAGAGAAGGCCCCCAAAAAACTGGAGTACGACAGTGGCAGCCTGAAGATGGAGCCTGGGACTTCTAAGTGGCGGAGGGAGCGGCCTGAGAGCTGTGATGACTCCTCCAAGGCTGGGGAACTGAAAAAGCCCATCAGCCTGGGCCACCCTGGCTCCCTGAAGAAGGGCAAGACCCCCCCGGTGGCTGTCACTTCCCCCATCACTCATACAGCCCAGAGTGCCCTCAAAGTCGCAGGTGAGTCCAGGCCAAAGGCAGGTGTAAGGGCTTGGTTTTTAGTCTTATTGGTCACTAACCCACAGACGGACCACAAACCTCCGCACAATGCTTTAACATACATTGTCTTCTGTGGTGGTCAAGACAGTTCAGAAGAATGGGTCTCACCATCTCTGTCCCACAAATGTGGAAGCAGACTCCAACTGAGAATGTGGCTGGCCTAGTCACACCACTGATACGAGGTAGAGCGGGGAGAGGATGCATTATGTTCAGAGACTAGTTTGACCTCTCTGTAAGCACTTCCCATTAGTTTCTTTCCTCTCCCAAGACATTTAGTCTGTGTTCTTATTTTTACAGGATCCTTGCCTGTTATCCTGGGAGAGGGTAGGGAAAAAGTAAATCAAATAAGGGCAGCAAAAGATTTTAGTGCCCCCCCCCCAAAAAAAAAAGATTTTAGTGCCCCCAAGGTTGGCCCCTTGGGTCACCTTAGCCTTACTCAACACTCTCCTCTAGTCTCTATTACCAGTGGACTGTGTTTTGTCCCTTTCTGGACCATTTATTGGATGCACCTTTTTCTTCATCATCTTTGTAATTGGTTCTGCCATCTAAGCCAATATGTCATCCTATCCTGGGAGCAGAAAACAGCAAAAACAAAAATAAACAAAGGCCTTGCCTCCCTACCTCTCCCACCCAGAATCCCTCTGGTAAGAAACTTCATCACCTTATTCCATACCTGCTTACTATATGTAGGCCTCTGGAATTCTACAAGACATTGGCAATGTTCTCTTCTTCCACCGAGAGAAAGGAAAAGATTTTTTAAGATACTAGTCAAGCCAAGCATGCCTGTAATCCCAGCACTCTGGAAACTGAGGCAGGAGGAGGATTGTAAGTTCAGACCCAGCCTGGAAACTTAGTGAGACCCTGTGTCAAAATCTGAAAGATACATAAACGAGCTGGAGGTGTATCCCAGTACAGAGACCCTGGATTCAATCCTTAGTATCAAAACAAAAAACAAAAAAAGATACTGGTCAGTGTCAGCTGCTCTTACCTCATTTTATGCCCTTACAGGTAAACCTGAAGGCAAAGCAACAGACAAAGGCAAGCTCGCTGTGAAGAATACTGGGTTACAGCGCTCGTCATCTGATGCTGGCCGCGACCGTCTGAGTGATGCTAAGAAGCCCCCGTCAGGCATTGCTCGCCCCTCCACTTCGGGATCCTTTGGCTACAAGAAGCCTCCTCCTGCCACAGGCACAGCAACCGTCATGCAGACTGGTGGCTCAGCCACTCTTAGCAAGATCCAGAAGTCCTCAGGCATCCCTGTAAAGCCCGTCAATGGACGCAAGACTAGCTTAGATGTGTCCAATAGCGCAGAGCCCGGATTCCTGGCTCCTGGTGCCCGGTCCAACATCCAGTACCGCAGCCTGCCCCGGCCAGCCAAGTCCAGTTCTATGAGCGTTACTGGTGGCCGAGGTGGAGCACGCCCTGTGAGCAGCAGCATTGACCCTAGTCTGCTCAGCACCAAGCAAGCAGGCCTTACCCCCTCCAGACTCAAGGAGCCCTCCAAGGTTGCCAGTGGGCGGAGCGCACCAGCTCCTGTCAATCAGACAGATCGGGAAAAGGAGAAGGCCAAAGCCAAGGCAGTGGCCTTGGACTCAGACAACATTTCTTTGAAGAGCATTGGCTCCCCGGAGAGTACTCCCAAGAACCAAGCAAGCCACCCCCCAGCCACCAAGCTCGCAGAGCTGCCACCAACCCCTCTCAGGTACCCAAAGTGGGCACTTTCCTCCCTGCCTGCCTGTTTTGCTGTTCTTTTGCATATCTTTAATCTCCTTAGCCTAGGTGTGGGATGGCATATCCACTGCTTCTCTAGGCCTTTGCGTGGTCTTTCGCCTCCCCTCCCCTGTATGCCAAGTATCTTTCAAAACTGTATTCGAGTCAGGCTCAGTGGCACTCACTGTAGTCCCACTACTCCGGAGGCTGAGGCAAGAGGACCAAAAGTTCAAGAGCAGCCTTGGCAGTCTTAACAATACCCTGCCTCAAAATAAAAAATGAAAAGGGCTGGCTAGATAGGACATGACTTGCTGATACAGTGCTTGCCCAGCAGGTGCAAGGTCTTGAGTTCAGTCCTTAGTACTACAGGGGGAAAAGCAAAAGAAATAGAAAAACTTTATTTCAAACTTGTTTTGTTATGCTATTCCCTGATCCACACTTAATCTGTCTCTAGCTGGTTTTATTGTATTTCGTGCCACACAAATACCCTTTTATGTATAAATTGACTTGTGTTTCCCACGTGCGTATGTTGTCCCCTTTTAAGATTAAAGGTGTCCTAAGTCAGGTAGCTGATTTCCTTCTGGTTGGTTTCTCAACAGCATTAGGATCAACCCATATTTATGGGATGGTCTCTATACTTTCCAGAAAGGAAACTAGAAGAATGCCTCTTGCTCTGTAATTCTGTTATCCTAAATATGTTGTTTTATCTCCACGTCTTTCAGGGCCACGGCTAAGAGCTTTGTCAAGCCACCCTCACTAGCCAATCTAGACAAAGTCAACTCCAACAGTCTGGATCTACCATCGTCCAGTGACACCCACACTTCAAAGGTCCCAGATCTGCATGCTACAAGCACAGCAACTGGGAGCGCTCTCCCTACCTGCTTCACCCCCAGTCCAGCACCCATCCTCAATATTAACTCGGCCAGCTTCTCCCAAGGCCTGGAGCTAATGAGCGGTTTCAGTGTTCCCAAGGAGACCCGCATGTACCCCAAACTCTCAGGCCTGCACAGGAGCATGGAGTCCCTCCAGATGCCAATGAGTCTGCCCAGTACCTTCCCCAGCAGTTCTCCCATCCCTGCCCCACCTGCTGCTCCTGCTGCGCCCCCAGAAGAAGAAACGGAAGAGCTGACCTGGAGCGGAAGCCCCAGGGCTGGGCAGCTGGACAGGTGGGTGGATGGACACAGACCTAAGCTGGTGCCCCCCTGCCTTGGGCTCATTTGGCCGCTAGCAATACCACCTTATATGTGATTGACACTTTGTGTCTTGCGAAAACTTTTCACATGTTGTAAGTCATTTCATTTGCTTCCCAACAATTCCATGGTACAGGCTATTTTCTTCTCATGATATAGATGATAAAACCTGTGCACGAAAAGGTGAATACTTATCCAGGATTTCATAATTAGTTTTGCCTGTCGTCCACAGCTCTTTTGCTTTCTAGTCCAAAATCGTTTGTTCTATCATACCTGGCTTTTCACCTATCTTAATGTCTTTTAATAGCCAACTCTACCTTCATTCCCAATCACAGCAGACTATTTAACATTTTAGATCAAATTCCTGAGTTGTACCTAGAACTTGGCTATGTTTGTCTTCTTAGTTTGTTTATGGAGATAAAGGGTCTCACAATTTGGTGTCCAGAGTGCATCTCTTGGGGGCTGTGGCCCTAAAATTTTGTTTCTAAGTGGAACTTAAAGTTTCTCTTAATTCATCTCCACAGTAATCAGCGGGATCGGAACACGCTTCCCAAGAAAGGGCTCAGGTAATCCTTAAGTGTGTTTTCTTCCCTGTACTAGGGCCCCTGGTCCATATAAAAAAAATCCTGGCCGAGGAGGTAGCTCAATGGAATAAGCGCTTCCCTGGCAAGCACAAGGGCCTGAGTTCAATCCCTCATTCCACCCCCACCCCCCCCA